GTAGTTTGAGCATTCTTTGGCATTGCCTTTCTTTGGGATTGGAATGAAAACTGACCTTTTCCAGTCCTGTGGCCACTGCTGAGTTTTCCAAATTTGCTGGCATATTGAGTGCAGTTAGGGTTCTAGGAAGGGAATAAAGGAATCTGAATTTGGAGCACTAAGCTAGTGCTACATCTTGGAAGGACCTTTTAAACCTTGTCAGTGAATTAAGACATTACAATAAGAGGATGAGGATTCGTCCTCTGAATTATGTACCCTGCAGATGCAGCCATTGAACTGAGTTGTAACTGTCTCATTTAACTGTCCCTGTTGATGTGACCTCTGCCCCTTCTTCAGGTTTATCTCCTGCCTTTCCTTCGACTTCTCAGCTGCTGCCTCCACCCCCTTCTCTGCCCAGCAGGCGTGTACACACACGCAGTGTTGCAAACATGCTGAAGTTCTGCCATGCACTCTCTCACACTCTGGCCTTTCACTGCTGCTCCCTACCCCTTGAGCGTGCCTCAGATCTCAGCCTGACCCTCTTTGTTCTAGATGACAGAGGTTAGGTTAAGTGGTCCTGCTCTGAACCTGTGATCCCACACTCTATGTACATTGTACTTGCTATGATGGTTAATTTCAGCTTCTCTCAGACTCTGGCCACCTGAGAGCAGGAACGTGGTTTACTGGTACATCCTTAGTACCTGGCACATGGACACTGAAAAATGCAGATGCTGAGAATGACTCAGTGTTCTGGAAGAATGAGGGGTGGTGGTTTCTCCTCTTGGAAATTTTAAGTCCTTAAACTTCTGTTATCCCTGATCTTCATCAAAATCATTCTTTCTAATGACCAAAGTCTATTAAGTGAATTTCTTGATGTCTGATGACCTGCATCAATTGGATGCTCTTGCCCTTACTTCTCACAGTTTTCTTTAACTGTTAGTGAGGAGGGGAGTTCAAGGGTAGAGAAGCAGAAGTAGAAAAATAGAAGTGCTTCCGGGTCGGTTGACTGCAGTGGATGGTGGTGCCTCCTCTTGGCACATTGACTTGAAATCAAGAAGACCATGTGGCTGAACTTGCCCATTTGCTTGCCATGGAAAACAGAAGTAGGGAAAAATACAGCGTTTCCTCCTGCAAGCTATTTTCGTTAATTCTGAGTATATATATGAAATTACTAGTTGTCACATTAATTTTAATGTATCTTAACTGATTCTACTTCAGTTTTACTGTGAGAGAAAAATTGAGGGTGGAAAGAGCACAGCGTACCATTAGATATCAGGAGACTTGAGGTTTTTTCTGGCTTTGCCATTTCTTAACTATGTGGCATCTTTTTGGTACTTAGTTTCCTAATCTGTATGATAATTTGCATAATTGTAATTCTTGACAAAATTGTACAGGTGAAATGTGATGGTGCATTGAAAATAACTTTGTAGGGCATAAAGACCTAGGCAGATGAGTTAATTTTTTTATTAAAATTATTTGATTGCTCTGTATGCATACTGATTCATCATTCTAGATAATTTAATCTTCTCAATTATCTTTTGCACGAAATTTCCTGAGATCTCATGTTTCCATTTTATTTCCACAGTACTGAAGATTGGTAAAAAACTCTATGAGGGTAAAACAAAAGAAGTCTATGAATTGTTGGATAGTCCAGGAAAAGTCCTCCTGCAGTCCAAGGACCAGATTACAGCAGGAAATGCAGCCAGAAAGAATCACCTTGAAGGAAAAGCTGCAATCTCAAATAAAATTACCAGCTGTATTTTTCAGTTGTTACAGGAAGCAGGTGAGTGGCTCTCCCAGGAGCCTCCCTCTTTGTAGTCTCTCTCACGTATACTTACTGGTTCTTTTTATTGGGAAATGACATTGTTTGGGTTGATAAGATGTTGATTACCAGTTGATATTTTTTTTCCAGTTGTTTTAGGAAGCAGGTAAGTGACTCCCCTTTCACACACACCACTCCTATCTCTTTAAGGAGGTTATTTGGATTAACAACATGTTTGGGGATGCCTCACATGCTATACTTTTTTTTTTTTTTCATTTATTTTTATTAGTTGGAGGCTAATTACTTTACAGTATTGTAGTGGTTTTTGTCATACATTGACATGAATCAGCCATGGAGTTACATGTATTCCCCATCCCAACCCCCCTTTCCACCTCCCTCTCTACCCGATCCCTCTGGGTCTTCCCAGTGCACCAGGCCCGAGCACTTGTCTCATGCATCCAACCTGGGCTGGTGATCTGTTTCACCATAGCTAATATACATGTTTCGATGCTGTTCTCTTGAAACATCCCACCCTCGCCTTCTCCCACAGAGTCCAAAAGTCTGTTCTGTACATCTGTGTCTCTTTTTCTGTTTTGCATATAGGGTTATCATTACCATCTTTCTAAATTCCATATATATGTGTTAGTATACTGTATTGGTCTCTATCTTTCTGGCTTACTTCACTCTGTATAATGGGCTCCAGTTTGATCCATCTCATTAGAACTGATGCAAATGAATTCTTTTTAATGGCTGAGTAATATTCCATGGTGTATATGTACCACAGCTTCCTTATCCTTTCGTCTGCTGATGGGCATCTAGGTTGCTTCCATGTCCTGGCTATTATAAACAGTGCTGTGATGAACACTGGGGTCCTCACATGCTAAACTTATTTAAATTAAACCAGAAATTAAAATATTACTGTAACACTTTACTTGGTTTGGAATTACTAAGTAGTTTCATTTAGTTAAGAGGAATTTCAACAAATTGCTACAGTTTTTGTCTTGCATGTATATCTTCTCTGCAACTTTCCTCTCCTAGGACATCTTAGGAAAGGCTTACCTATGAAGGAACTTAAAGAACTTAACCTGTAAAAGAAATATATTCTGGTGTTTGGCAGCTCTTATTGATGAATTTAACTCCTAAAAGTCTATGTGCATAAATTTGCTCTGCCCCTTGGAGGTAATACAGAATTTCAAATCCCTCTTCCATTTGAAAGCCCTGAAAAGTAATTGAAGACTACAACCACACCTTCTCATCCTGCCATTCCCCACCTGAGGGATTTGGACTAGATCAAGATCTTCAGGGTTACCTCCTACTCTAAAACTGAGTAAAGACTGTTTCCAATAGTGAAATCTATTTGAAAGATGAAATCCAGATCAAAACATTCTGTGGAGGGCAATTGGAGTGAAAGAAAGAAGGTAATTCAAGTTAAATTCTTTCCATCAGTATAGAATACGTGCTTGAGTACTTTTGCCTTTTCCAGAGTACCCTGTTTCCCATTTTTAATTACTGTGACAAAAAAGTATGTTTAACTGCCAACCTAAATTGTCATCCATATCATAAATCACCTATACATTGAAGGTAAAAATATTACATAATTTTAAAGCACTTCCCTCAGTTCTTAAATAATGCAACCCAGGATTTTTACTTCACGGTTTCCTTGAGTGGTGGTTTTCCAGTAACTGAGTAGACTTCTAGAGAGAGCATCAAAGTAGTATTAGGTTCCTCTTGCAGTACAGATAAGTGATCCTTTGATCCTTTTTTAACCTCACAAGTTATCTCCTCTCCGAACATGTTAAAAATTTTTATAGTTGCTTAACACTATAAGTTGTTAAACAATATAACTAGCTTCTGTGTCCCCATAGTAGTACGTAGCTATGGGACTAAAGCGGTGGAAGATATGTACAGGCCTGAGTTCTTTTATTTGCTTATTTAATGACACCTATTCAGCGTACTTGCCAGGGCTTCAGGAGAGTGAATTAGGGTGATGCAGTTTGACTCTGAAAGGCCTGCATGCAGCTGGGAAAGTTGGTCACACAAATGAAGTACTCCAGCAATTATCTATTTAGCACGCTGAACATACCTAAAAGTTACTTGGTTGACAGAAAGTGTGGAAAGGTGCTTTCCAGGTTTTATAACTGTGCTGCTGCTGCTGCTAAGTCGCTTCAGTCGTGTCCGACTCTGTGTGACCCCATAGACGGCAGCCCACCAGGCTCCCCCGTCCCTGGGATTCTCCAGGCAAGAACACTGGAGTGGGTTGCCATTGCCTTCTCCAGTGCGTGCAGGTGAAGTCGCTCAGTCGTATCTGACTCTTCTGTGACCCCATGGACTGTAGCCTACTGTGTTCCTCCATCTGTGGGATTTTCCAGGCAAGAGTACTGGAGTGGGTTGCCACTGCCTTCTCCATTATATTGAAATGGAGGCAAATTAAATGTGAAATTAAGGCAAATCTAAAAGCTTTAAAAATTCATAACAGATTGTTAGTTTTAGGGTACAGATTAAGAGTTCTTTTAAGCCTTATTTATGCAGTTTTTACTTGCTAATTGTTAAATGCTATGTCTAGATGACTGTCAGTGGTCTGTTTAAAACTGCTTTCTTTAATACCATGGATATGTTCCAAATTAAGGTATTTCTGGAAATTTGAATGAGAAAAGCACCAAAATGAGAATCAGTAAATCAGGATTCTAGTTTTCTCTTTGTCACTCATGAACAAACTATAAAAGACTGCACGAGTAATAGGTATAGATATAGGAAATAACACTGTACATGCTATATAGTGAACTAACGCTTATACAGGAATTTTGAAGTTCCTGGATTTAGTCTCTGTGCTTAAAAATCAAATGTTAACCTTTTATGTTTCAGTTCCTTCTTGCACAGAAACCCACTGTGGTTACATTGAGATGTGATAGTAGTGATATGACTAACAGTCTCACAGTTAAACCACAGTTGGGGAGCTTGGAACCTTAATACAGGGATGGTGCCAGGATTAGCTGGGTGATTAGCTGTCATACTTGGACGTTGTAATTCATAATGTGAAGTGATGTTTACATTTCTTAGTAGTCTTGATAGGAGTTTTGAATTTTGTAAACAACTGAGACTAATGGGGGAAGTTCTTTTGTGTATGTGTTAGAAGCAATCATTATACCATCTAAACTGAATCCCTTTTTCTTAGAAGCAGGTTTTTTTTGTATGACTACCATAAGTTGATTCTATGTAGTTTTGATTCCCTTAGATACAGGGAAGGACTTTCCTCTGAGTTACAGTAACTATTGTTTATATTTAAGCAATAGATTTGTAGCCTGTAAAGCTTGGTAGACAATGAGCAAATATGACTACTGGTTAAAAAGAGCTCTTAGACCTAGTTATGTAGTTACCACCTCAAGTCAAGGATTGATTCAAAATCCTGACTGCCTATGAGCCCAATCATTTGTTAAAGTTTAAAGTGGCCTAAGTATTTTACATACACTTTTAACATTCTTTCCCAGAGTTCCTGTCCGCACAGTATAGAATAGTTTATTCTTTTCCCTGTTTTAATTGAATCTTCCTGGTCAAACCCAGAGGGAATACAAAGAAAATCGTACAGGTTTCAGAACTGGATAGTGCATTTTAGGTCCAGGCTCCATTACTTACTAGCAGCATGACCTCACCTACTAAATTATTTCTGTGAGCCTCTACTTCTTTCACTGTAAAATGTGAATGCTAGCAGCTAGTTCAAAAGTTTTATGTATGGTTAAATGAAATAACATGTAAAACACTTAGCATGATGGAAGGTTTCCATAAATGTAGGTTCCCTTCACCTGTGGATACATACATACGTAAGATCAAAGATCTTCAGTCCTTTGATGATAAAAATTTGATCTTATTAGAGGTTTAGATTGGGATTGGAGGGGCTAATATTTTATGTAAAGATGAGCATAGTTATGTTAAACCCATGCAAGTTTCCAGGATTTATTTTAATTCACATTAGTGTGATAATACAGTAACACCTCCAGGAGAGCATGGGGTAAGGCAGCCTGGAGAGTTCAGACTGTGGGTTGGAAACCCTACCTTGCCTAGTTGTGGCCTCCATAAGTACTGTGCCTCAGTGTCCCCTATTTCTTGGGAAGATCATCACACCTTATCAAGTGTCATGAGGATTAAGCAAACAGAAACCAAATTTATAGTGCCTGACCTAAGGTAGGTTGTGCAAATTGTGGTAAAATATACACACATAAAATTTACCATGTTAAATTTTATACACACATAAAACTTACCATGTTTCTAAGTGTACAATTCACTGACGTTTATGTTGATGGTGTTGTGCAACCCGTTGCCACTGTCAATTTCCAGAACTTTTTCATCATTCCAGACTGAAACTCTGATCCATTAGACAATAATCTCCCCGGGTAACCTCTGTCCTACTTTCTGTCTCTGAATTTGCCTACTTTAGGTATCTCCTGTAAGTAGCATTACAGTTCTAACCTTCGCTTCACTTGGCATAATGTTTTCACGAATCATCCATGTGGTAGCATGTATCAGAATGTCCTCCTTTTTGTAACTGAGCAGTAATTCACTTGTGTAACTACACTTTGTCTGTCCGCTCCACTCATCTCTTGTTGGACACTTGGGTCCTTTCCTCCCTTCTGGCTACTGTTAATAGCCAAAACACTGTGAATATAGTGAACACTGGTGTTCAGATACCTGTTTGAGTCCCTGCTTTCAGTCTTTATGTGTATATGTGGAATTGCTGCAACATATGGCTTGTGATATATTGTAACTGTTATTAGAGAAGTTATTTTCCAAGGCCACCACATAAAGTAGCCCCAGTCCAAACATCACAAGGCAGCTGTTTATCTTAGTTTTCCAGTAACAGTTTGAGAAAGAGAGAAGAGAGGAAGAACAAATATTTTCTTTGCTTTTAGGCAGATTGGTCACTGCGTTCCTGCTGGTACCTGTTGAATGCCTTTTTCAAGGATTATTTGCTTTAAATATTAAGAGAAAAATGCTGTCCAAAATTTAGGGCTGTATCTGATTGTGATAAATTATTATTTTATAAGGCCCATATAATACTGGACCAATGAATGTGACAGTCCTGCCACCGGATCTGATTCAGAGATAATTTAGTGCCATTTAGGTACTTACATGCCTTGTGCAGTTAGGTGCACAATGGTAGAGGAGACACTCAAATATTTTTTGAAAGAATGAATGAATGGACACTGGAACTCAGATTTTTAGAATCCGTATATAATTTGCCTTGCAACGTAAAATGAAATATTCCTGAATATTTTGATAGGCAGTAGAAGGCCATATTAAAATTTTTTTCCTACTTCTGCCTGTTTTTAAAAAATTAAATTTATTTTTGATAGTGCCATTTAAGGATAGTGTATTTAGCTATGCAGGATTTTTTTTTTTAATTGGAGGATAATTGCTTTACAATATTGTGTTGGTTTCTGCCATATATCGACATGAATCAGCCATTGGTATTGGCATGTCCCCTCTCTCTCGAACCTCCCTCCCACCTCCCTACACAGTTTTTGTTTTGTTTTTTATAAATGGTAGAGTTTTATTATGCCTCAGATCTAACTTTTTAAACATAATTTTAATGCTTTTTTTTTTTCTTTTTGTTATCAATATGTAGGTATCAAAACTGCTTTCACCAGAAAATGTGGGGAGACAGCTTTCGTTGCACCGAAGTGTGAAATGATTCCAATTGAATGGGTTTGTAGAAGAATAGCAACTGGTTCTTTTCTCAAAAGAAATCCTGGTGTTAAGGAAGGATATAAGTTCTACCCACCTAAAGTGGAGATGTTTTTTAAGGTAATTATTTTATACTTCCCTTTCTTACTGTAACTGAGCCACAAGTTTATCACAGAGTCAAAAGATTTAAATACTATTTAAGCTTTATTTTTTTCTATTTAAGTTTTTGATACTAAAATTATCATTCCAGAAATATTTGTGGAGAATGTACACTTCAGTTAGTAATGATAATTCAAAAGTTTAGGAAAATGTCTTTGAAAATCTATTTATCTTACATTGGAACAAGAGGATGAATAAAAAGAACAAATTGAAAGTAGCAGTTATTGGGAAGAAGAGAAAAGGAACAATTCAGTAAATTTTAAAATCCACTGTTGAAGGCTAATATGAGGGATCTTTTTATATTCTAATACAGAAAATTGTTGTTAATGTGTCTTTTTTTTTTTTCCATTTATTTTTATTAGTTGGAGGCTAATTACTTTACATCATTACAGTAGTTTTTGTTATACATTGAAATGAATTTTAAGCAGAATCATACAACAAAAGATGTAGGAGTCAATAGTTATGAATTTGTATTGGTTTTTTTTACTGAAACTGCTTCTCTCTTTTCATCTCTTTTCATTCTTTTAAGCATATTTCTTCTATTTCAGAAGTAGTGTCATTGTGCATCAGTGAACTGCACAGTTTAAAGCATTTGTCTTATGATTATAATTATATAAATCAAGATCCATAAAAGAAAAACTTCATGTACAGTTGGGACACTACTTAGAATAAAATGAAACTATTTTATTTTTTTACCAATCTCATTACATTGTATGAAGTCTCTTGAATTATCGAGTAATGGTCTTGAAGACTTATAGTCTTGTATAAATTCTTACCAAAAGTAAGGTCAAGGGATTATGAAAGTTGCATTCTGCAAGGATTTTGTTGGAGTAGAATGTGTTTTGGTCTTCTTACCATCTCTGTTGACTGATTAAGAAAAAATAAAAATCATAAACTTCTATTTAAATTATTTATATAGAGAAAACAAATTCTTTAAAAGTACTTTATGACTTAGAATTTTACTCCAAAATACTGAATCTTAAAGTAGCTATTGAAAATAGAAAAGTTTAAAATGATTGTTGTGAATTAGAGGGTATTTTAAACAAAAGTTAAATCTTTAGCAAAAATGAATGTTTCTGAGGAATTCATCATGCTCAATTTGTCTGAAATTTTCAAATATTTTATATTTAAGTTACTTGTACTCCTATACTTTTTTCTCAGGATGATGCCAATAATGATCCACAGTGGTCTGAGGAACAGCTAATTGCTGCAAATTTTTGCTTTGCTGGACTTGTTATAGGACAAACTGAAGTGGATATCATGAGTCATGCTACGCAGGCTATTTTTGAAATACTGGAGAAATCCTGGTTGCCCCAGAACTGTACACTAGTTGATATGAAGGTACAAATAAAATGGAGATTTGAAAGTAAAGATTATAACTGAGAAATATCTTTAGTAGTATAGTGTTGAAAAACTTTATTGATATGCTGTTTCTAGATTGAATTTGGTGTTGATGTAACCACCAGAGAAATTGTTCTTGCTGATGTTATTGATAATGATTCCTGGAGGCTCTGGCCATCAGGAGATCGAACCCAGCAAAAAGACAAACAGGTAGGTAATGATTCAGGCTTTTTTAAATCCTTTGCAAGATCAGGCTGGGATAGAAGAGGAAGGGAAGATGGGAGGATAAGGAAAGGCACTTACTGTTTCTGATGACATGAGCCCGAGTTGTTGATTGCTATTTATTTTTAAAGATAAGTATCTTCTATGTCTAATATATCCTGGAGAAAAGGATAGGTATAATACTTTACATTTATGAAGCAGATTTCTCATTTATTATCTCACACAGAGCAAATATTACCCTTTTTTGATTAATTGAAAACTAAGGCTCTAAGGTTATAGATATCTTCACAAATAATAAGAGTAAGTGACAGGGCTTTTCTGCTAAGTGGCCTGACCTGAGGTGACCTCTAAAAATGGTTTGCTATTCACTTGACCCAGAGAACTCTACAAAATCATGCAAATCAAGGAGTTCAAATCTTCGTGTTAAGAACACTCATGAAAATGCCCAGGGTATGCATATCTGAAAAGCCACCAGTCTGAAAGATGTCCCTTTATGGAAGCTATATGTGTCATCCGTTGTTAAAATGGTAGAGTTGGTAGGTGTGCTGAGGCCAAACAGTGGGGCTGGACGCAGGGTCAGTGGCCCAAAAAGAGTGCTGAATTTTTACTGCACATGCTCAAAAATGCAGAGGGTAATGCTGAACTTAAGAGCTTAGATGTGGATTCTCTGGTCATTGAGCACATCCAAGTGAGCACAGCAGTCAGATCATCCCATACATGAGCTCTCCCTGCCACACTGAGATGATCCTTCCTGAAGAAGAACAGGTTGTCCCTGAACCAGAAGAGGGGGTTACCCTGAAGAAACGACGACTTAAGCCCTGGGAATAATTACTGTCCCCCCCCCCAAAAAAATGCAAATAAAAGTCTATAAAAGAGCAAGTGGCAGGCGTAGAACTCTACCCCAGGTCTTACAGCTCTTACAGGCTCCAATTCTGTTCTCTCCTTCACAAAACTAGGGCAAGATCTTCTCTATTCTTAATATGTAAGAACTGTCAGGGCAGCTAGTAATTGCTCGTGTAGGAAGCAGTTATCTTTGAATGAAACTGCAAGAACTCATCACTATCTGAACTTCTCTAGTCTAATTCAAGAGATGAGTTTGTAGGCTCAGATATATTTTTCAGATACATCTTTTGCTATGCAGACTTCATAATCTGTACCCTAAACTCAGAAACCAAGTCATTTCAGATAGGAAGAATATTACTAGTAGAATACTTTACCCAATCTCCTTTTCAGTCAATAAACTCTGGCTCTCTGAACTGACTTGGGTCTGGGAATTGGGTGAGAGGTCATGAGTCTCTATAATGGTGGCTCAAATGAACCCGCTCTGCTTGCCGACTGTAGTTGCTGGGTGTTTGGGGTGGGGAGCTCATGCATGTCTGGTATCTATGTTCTCAGCTTTCTTATTTTCTAGTCATACCGTGATCTCAAGGAAGTAACTCCCGAAGGGCTGCAGATGGTAAAGAAGAATTTTGAGTGGGTTGCACAAAGAGTGGAGGTAAACCTTTCATGTCTTATGTATTTTTCTCCAAGAAAATTTTGCTTCAGAAAGAAAAAAAGTGAGAGGGTGCATTGCTTTTCTTTTTTCCAATGACTTTTAAAGAAGGGAGCACTTTACAAAAATGTCCCAGCTGAACTATCCTCACTGGGACACTGGAACCCCCTGCCGTGAAACTGGCCAGTCTGCCTCCCAACTACTACTGCAAAACCTGGAATCCTTTCCTCCTTGTCCCCTGCAGGGGAACCTTACATTTCCTACTCACCTTTCTGTTGCTACTCAGTCCCTAGCAAGAGTATAGAATTGGAATTCCATGTGACATTAAAATGTCACTTTAAAGTTTATATTTTTATTATTGCTATAATTCCATGGAAACTGAATGGGGTTTATGGTTATCCAAGAGTAATAACTACTTTTTAGAACATCATTTCCGAGGGAATGTGCATTTTGAATTCCACACAGCTAGCTTGCAAAGATTTATAACATGACTTCTATCTTGGCTTAAAATGTGTTAAACGGAATGTACTAAAAATCTTTGATGAACTATTTTACAGCTTCATGAATATTAATTGTTTTTTTATTATAATAGTAAACATAATTTATCTGATTAAAAATCTTACTCATTAGGTCTTAATTAGGAAGGCCACTTTCTTTTATATAGAGAGGTTATTTTGAAAAATAAATCATCTATCATTTTGTTCTGCTTGTCTTAAATTTGGTCTCTTAAGAACGGAAATACTGCGTCAAGTTGTAATTTTAATAAACTGTTCTTACAATACTCATTCCCATATTTATCCATTTTTATCTTTGCCTTTTGCATATTCGTGTTTTTCTTTTCCAGTTGCTTCTGAAACCAGAAAGTCAGTGCAGGGTTATAGTATTGATGGGCTCAACCTCTGATCTTAATCACTGTGAAAAAATTAGGAGGGCTTGTGGAAATTTTGGCATTCCATGTGAACTTAGGGTCACCTCTGCCCATAAAGGACCAGATGAAACTCTGAGGATTAAAGCTGAGTATGAAGGTAAATGTTGAATAAATAGAGCATTTCAGGAAGTTCTCATGATTCTGCCCCAAAATTTTATGTTTAGACTAATAATGCTGAAAAATATTTTTCTGCATTTCTAAGGGAAAAAATTTTAAACTTTCATGATGTCTGCCTCCAGAATTTTCAAGGTGCTCTAGGAGCTTATAAAAGAATGGATCAGAGAGAAAAAATTGAAAGTGCACACATGGGAGGAAAACGAAGACTAGAACTAGTCCTTACCCAACCCCTCAGGCACTGTTGCGAGTGCCCTGTGACAGAAAGTAGGCCTCACAGCAGTTACAGAGGAAAGGGCCGAGGTTGAAGCTGCAGGTCCTCTCAGGTATCTCTAATGGTCGGCCTTTCCTGGGAGACAGTCACACATGAAATGAAGGAACAATTTCAGAATTTAGTATATAAAAGAAGTGTCTTGATGGGATAGCATCTAAAATAAGGAGCCCTATAGACTGGGATGATTCTCGACTGGAGAAAACATTGGTTGTATATTCCTTCTAAAGGTAGTTGCTATAGGCGTACAGTTACTGAATTTTTAAGAGCTTTTTTTGGGAGGTGGGTGGAGGTCAGACCCCTACAATAAGCTAATAAAAACCAGGTCTCTTTCTCTCCAGAAAAATGCAAAGATAAAATTTTGGATTCCAAGTAGACTGCTGTAGGAAACAAATAACTTATGAATTTATGAAAGAATAAGATGTTTATGAGATGTGAGAAAAAATTTATTCAAGAATCTTAACTATTTGGGTACTCTGTTATTGAGTTCAGTTCCTTAAGAGTGTCCCTCAACCTCTAGTGTCTGTTAACTGTCTCCCATACCCTGCGGGTCAGGAGGTGTCATTCTCTGCTTCAGTGAGCCAAAGCAGCAATGGTAGCAGGGGCCTTTGAACATTCCCTCTCTCAAACCCGTGTGTTAACACCGCCTTAATGCTACAGATCTCAAAGATGGTCAGAACTATTCTTGCTACTTCATTGCTTGACATCCAGTAAGTGGCAGGATGAACCTTGTATTTTGAATATATATTTAATAACAGTCTTAATATAGTGCTTTATCTAGAGACTCCTGTTAAAGGAACTCAGGGAATTACGACACAGGGACCCCTTTTTTAAAAAACTATCTTGAAATCTCTTTTGAGTGCTTAGTATAATTACAATTTGTCGTTTACCTAGGGGATGGCATTCCTACTGTATTTGTGGCAGTGGCAGGCAGAAGCAATGGTTTAGGGCCGGTGTTGTCTGGTAACACTGCATATCCAGTTATCAGCTGTCCTCCTCTCACTCCAGACTGGGGAGCTCAGGATGTGTGGTCTTCTCTTCGATTACCCAGTGGTAAGATAACTGAATCTTCTAAAAACTTTAATTCATAAGCTTCAAATATGCACAGTGGTAGAGAGAATAACATAATGAAATTTCACATACCTGTTACCCAACTTCAGAAATTCACATCTTGCTGCATCTGTAGTCCTCCTGCTGCGATATGTAAAGCAGATCTGAGACATGATGGCATTTTATACTTAAATACTTGTTTTCTAAGAGATAAAGACTAATTTTAAAATTATAACCATAATACCACATTCACATCTGTCCTCTGACATGTTCCCGAAGGGACTGACTTTTCTTAAATTAATTTGGCTAATATTAGTTATGTAGTAAGTAGTGGGTCTGTATAAATTTGAGTTATTAATACAAATTAAATATCCTTGTGATTTATACTTTATTCTTATTGGGGATCATGAGAATCAAAGAGCCTGATCCAAGAGTATTTAGGGAAATGGGAGCTTTTGGATCTGTAACCTATCTAGTCCTTGACTCTAATGACATAATAGTACCACCTCAAGAAACTGCCTGATGAACTTGCTTGGTCACCAGGGAGAGAGGGGGGTATGGGATGAACTGGAGGTTAGGACTGACACATGTACACTGCTGTGTATAGAACAGATGACTAATGGGAACCCGCTATGCAGCACAGGAAGCTGCTCCGTGGTCTGTGGCGACCTACGGGGGAGGGAGACTGAAAAAGCAGACCCGTGTGTCCGTGTGACTGACTCCCTGCGGCACAGCGGAGACTCACAGGCCATTGTGAGGCAGCTGTCCTCCAGTGAGAACAAGGCCGCCACGGCTTTAGCTCAAAAACCAAAACTCAGCCCGAGCAACGCGTGGCCCCCTAAGAAGTTACTTACTCTACTGTCTTACAGATCTACTGAACTAGTATTGAATTTATAACCTAATATTTCTTAAAATTATTTTGTGGATTTGACTTTTATTGCTTCTTAAAACTATTAGAATGAGTCAAGTGCAAAAACAAAAGGAATAGCTAGAAAATTACCAGAACAACGTACCTCAAGTTTGTCTAAGAAGAGATGATTCTACCCAATTAGCCTCATACCTTATTTTGTTTCTGCTGGCCTTTTACCAGGGAGTTAAAGGCTAGTATATATGAAAAGAACTTTGCAAAAGGTAAATTTCTTTGCAAGTAGATTCAATGAGAAGAATGATAGTTATATATAAAATACCTGTTCCTAGCCGATGAATATTATTTATCACTTTATCACTCCAGATAGTAAAGATGGAAACTCCATCCACAGATCCTACTTTAGAAAAGGATAATATAGTAGCTTTATTGTCTGTGGCTGGTGGGGCTTCTGAGAGTATAAAATAGTTTGCTAGGTGGTATTTTCACTTTACTAACTTACAGCTCAATGTTGCATCTTTTCTGAACCAATAGGTCTTGGCTGTCCGACCATCCTTTCTCCAGAAGGATCAGCTCAGTTTGCTGCTCAGATATTTGGATTAAATAACCATCTGATCTGGGCCCGACTGCGAGCAAGTGTATTAAACACATGGATTTCCTTGAAGCAGGCTGACAAGAAAATCAGAGAGGCCAATTTATAAGAAAGAACATCACTGCATTTTTTTAGGAGGAAAACTATAATTTTCTAGTCAGCTGCCCACCCCCCCAAAAAATCAAGATGAAAAGATTTTAGATCATTGAGAGAAAAATAAAATTTGTAAGTGAATAAATGCTTTTCTCGATTCATGGATTAGTAAAATGTGTACATATTTATTAATGTCTCTTTATAAGTAGTGAAATTACTATACATTCAAAATTAATCTGTTACCCACATATGGTCATTGTTAGGTAGACAGTATAATTAATTATATTTATTAAATGCTAATAATGTCCTATTACAGAGCTCTAAAGTTATTACTTGACTTTCTACATCTCAGCCCATAAGTTTTAGAAATGTAAAATGGTTGTATCTTAGAAAGGGTGGTTAAACACAATACAGGCCTTTTTCACAGTATGATCTTAACAAAATTCTAAGGGCATGGTTTTTTATTTGCAGTCACTATGTCAGAAAATGATGTTGTATTTAGCTATAAGTAGAGATGAAGTCTGGGTTTGATACTGCATTTTTTTGACCAAAGCCGAGATTGATGCTGGAGCTAAGACAGACATAAATAAGATGAAGGGGCACTGAGGAAGCCATATAGAGAACTCCATTAAGTGTTAAGGCAATTTCCAATGGGAAAAAAAGTAGTTACCTTTGTCATTGCCAATGAAAGATTTAATAACTCTTACAAGGCTCTGTAGGTCATAAAATTCTTTTCATTCTAATATATATTGTATTCAGACTAACAATTCCCAGCCTACCATCATTTTCAGAAATTGGAATCTCCCAGTTAATGACCATAACTAGTTTCTTTCTTGTTCATAGTATTAAGCCTGGGCAGTATACCGAGCAAAATGCACCTCTAAAGGAGCAGTTGTTACTGAAAAGTATTACAGTTCATCATGAGTCTACAAACCATATTTGGAAGTCAGTATTACATTATGCAGCCTTGGGAATTTAACAGATCATTAAAAGTTTTATCCAAGTGTCCACACAGCCCTTAAGCTTGCATGTAAAAATTTATGTATATGTTCACTTTGAAAAGAGGGCAGTTTTTACCAATTAATCTGTGTCCCTTCCTACCCACCCACCAGCCCCCAGTGCTGAGTCTCCACTACAAATGAAATCCTGAAAACTTTTGCCACTGGCCTGCACTGTGCTTTTTCACCTTCCTCTCAACTGTTAACAAGCTAGCATCTTATCACTTATTTAACATGATCTCTTTAGGGTATAACTGACCTGATTATTCCTTTTCTTTGGCTAGACACCAAATTGTTCCAACCTCAGTCTTGATCATTCCTCATATATTACTTTTTATTTAATTATTGGTATTTCCTGCTGTTCAGTCCATTGTTTACAAATAGTACTAGAATAATCATCTTTATAGTGAATGTCTGTAGACTTGTATTTTCAGCTTTCCATTTCCCTCTGAATGCTCCAAACTTAACCCATCTTCCAAGCCTATAGCTGGCTATACTCACTGTCCCAAATCAGAAGCTTAATTTTATCCTTGATGGTTTTCTCTGACCTTTCATTTTTAACTCATCACCAAGTCTTGAATTTACCATTTGCCCATCATCTACAAAAATCTCAAGCAAGGGTCAAATTCTGTTATTAGCCTGGTCTAGAAGATCTTCATTCTCAACCTAACCTTTTTGAAGATTGTCCAAGGACTTAAAACACAAACTCTTAAATAAGTTTCTTTTGCAACATAGACTCCTTTGAAAATAAGAATGCTGCTGATCCTCTGTCTAGAAAATTGCACAGAATTTCTCAGTGTGTTCCACTGGTTCCTGGGTTCCCTTGAAATCTGTCCATAGTCTGTAGGTTAAGAATCACTGATGTAACCTATCAAGGGAACTTGCTTTTCTCATAGTTTTCAGACTTAGAATGTCCTCGTGTGTCATTAAAATCGAGTTACTAGGGCTTCACCTTCACTGTCTGCGTTAAACCTTCCCTAATAAGCCTTCCTCTAGCCACAATGGCTGCAAATACTTTCTCTGTTGGATTTAAGTTCCCAAAGAGGAGAAAATATAGTTTTACAGTTTGTTTGCCTTATGCTCTGATGTGCTATGCCTAGCTGTCTGCTAGAAATGGGGGAATTGTAAAAATCATGTCCTGCTTAGTTTTCTATCTTAAGTTAGATCACATTAGATCACAAGAGCAATTAAAAAGATTTTATCTGAACATCTTTGAACTTGGGATTCTTAAGATCTCTGAATAGTTGTTATATTTGTTGGCTGCTATTTCAGCTCTTCTGTCCCACCTAGCAAAAGCTCTGTCCTTGTGCAGTACATAAAAATGTCAAACATTGAGACTGGTGTGCAGGACTGACCTTTATTAATGGGTCATAATAATGTTCACCATTAGTTTCTTAATAGAGTACATATATCCTCAATAGTATAGTTCATCAGTGCTAGAGTAAATACTTGTTTAAAAGTATTTTAACTGTGTTCTAAAAAGTAACTTACACAAACCTACCTGGTTTGCCATCTTTGGATGTTTAGACTTTGTGGGCTTGTAGTTAAAAAGAGGAAGAAAAATTGTGTCCAAATAACTCACTAGTTTATATCATAAAGCCACACTTAAAATTGCTGTTGCTTTAATGCCTTCTGAAATGTAAACAATGCATCCAAATAAAAGACAAAGATAAGCTCTTGTGTGAAGCTTTATTCATTTATCCACGTGTGAAATACATGTTTTGCCTGATTTTATTCTAGGCCCTAGGAAAGTAACAGAGACAAGGCCTTCACCCTCACAAAATTTACATTTTCTTTGGGATAGCCATGAAAGATATAGCGGATAGGTGCAAGGAGGCATAAGCGCACATGAAGAAAACCCAGGGTAAGAGGGCGGTGACTGGGTATGAGGGATGTGTTTGAGGCAAGCAGGGCAGGATGTGAAGAACAAGCCATGCAAAGATTCAGGGAAGTAGCTTCCCAGACTACAGAAAGTAAAATAGCTTTGCCTTTTTGAGGACCTGCAAACATGCTAATACTGCCGGAGCCCTGTGGGCAAGGGAAGGATTAAGAGTGGAAGGAAATGTTGATGGAAACAAAAACGATCTAAGGGTCTATGGGCCACCCTGAAGTGTGACAGGAAAAACTATTGGTAGGTTTGAGCAGGAGCTGACACAATGTATTCAACAGGTTTGAAAGCATTCTCTGCTGTTATGTGGACTAGAGGAGATTGGTTAAGAAGTTAACTGTAAAAAAATAATAAAAAGAAAAAAATAGAAGTTAACTGTATCCAGTTATCCAGTTGAGAAGATGTGACCTTCAACAAGTTATTTAAATTTTTTGTACCTCCATTTCCTCATGTGTAAAGTGGGACTAATACTACCTATCTCAAGTGATTATGTGAATTAAACGAGTCAATGTATGTAAAGTACATCCTAGCACATGAATGCATCATGTAGAAATTCCATTTGGCTGACTAGAGGATAGAATGAGTGGAACTAGTTCCATGAAAATTACCTTGAATTTGATATCCCTTCAGCTGATTTAATCTCTAAAAATAGGAAAATAAGCACAGAGCATGATGTGCCTTAAATAAAACATGCCATGCCATGGGACAGTCACAGTTTCTCCCTGCCATCTTCAGCCCAGCAGTCCTCAGAAAGCCAATGAAAACACTCTCAGTGGAGCTTTCTGCATTTAACTTCTCACAACTTCAAACAGTTGGGGAAGAGTTGTTAACCTAGCAAGGTGGTACAGTAAAGATAGGAGTGGCCATGAGCTGGACATAGTTTCTGTTCACAAGGAACTCAGATCAGGGGAGAAATAAGCAAAAACTCATTCAGTTAAAAAGTTGAGTATCAACTATATGCCAGGATGTGGACTAGATACTAGGATGCTACAGTAAACAAAAATATAGTCCATGGAGAAAGGCCTTAAACAATGAGCAGTGCTCAGAAGTAGAGAACTCCATTAGAGCCTGTAATGAGGAACCTTGCATAGTCTGCGAAGACAAAAGAGGTAACTTTTAACCTAGGACCGGATAAGATAAAGAACAGAAATACTGAAGGATGAAAAAGAATGAGCTAGATTGCTGGCAAAGAGCGGGCAGGACAGTGGCAGGAACCGGTAGAATCGGGACAAGAAATGAGTGCAGGCTAGGCGTTCAATAAAATGTTCAGTCATTCTCATCAAGAGTACCCAACAAGGTCTTCCCTTGGTGATCCAGTGGCAAAGACGAAACTCCCAATGCAGGGGGCTGGGTTTTATCCTGGTCAGGGAACTAGATCCCATACACCCGCCACGAAAACACCGGACGCCCCCACCCCGCCACAACTAAGACCTGCCACAGGTCTTATATGAATAAACAAAAATTTTAAAAATAACAAACATTAAAATATTCGACAGTATTCTGTCCTGACATTCAAACACATCTTAAAGTCTTACAAAAACTCCACCCCGCCCCCATGTCTGCTTGAGGGCTTACTATGCCAGGAGGCATGAAAAGTATCGTTTATCCCTGGAACAATGATATGTTATCCCTATTTTTACAGCCGGAAAAACTGGGACTCTAATATTAACGTTCACAAGCGAAACATGTAGCGAGTCACTAAGCCAGGAACTGAACCTGGGTATTCTCACCTCAAAACACATTATCCTTTGGGTCTTACTGCTAACTGCTCTCAAAATGCAAAACAAAGGATAGACAAAAGGTTTTCACCAAATTATTTTGCACTTGATTCTTTTCTTCCGTGCGTCTCCTCATAATCGCTTCTCTGCGTGAACTTGACCCAAAACTAACCCTTTTTCCTAATCACCTTTCAAGATCCCCTTCAAATAGCAATACCTCTATGAAGTATGCCCAGGCAGCAAGAAGCTGTCTCTCTCTCTCTCCTCTTCTCTCCTACTCTTTCAAATGGTTCCCTACAGTTTCTAGTTGGTATTTTATCACGCCATAGACCTTTCATCTTCCACAGACCTCTGCCTCGCTCCGCCTTTAGAGACCTGGACACTTCTCCGCCCCCAGCGGTCGCCCCGGAAACGCACGCTACTTTTAACTGAATCTGTTCTGTGAATCCTTTTCAGCCTCCTCCTGGGGTACGACGGCTCATTCCTCCAGACCTGCTTTATAGAGGGTGTACCAACTCAATCTCCGCAAATTTCTAGCTACAAGAACTACCACCGCTGTCTCCGACGCTGACTCCGGGATAGGGACGCTTCGAACTCCGAAACGCTTAGCAACCACCGGCTTCCTTCTCTGCTTTCCCACCTCCGAGATCCTCTTCCGGGGCAGAGGTCGGCTCGCCTCTCCTCCAAGATGGCGAGCGGCGGCAGTGGAATCCTGGTCAGGGAACTAGATCCCATACACCCGCCACGAAAACACCGGACGCCCCCACCCCGCCACAACTAAGACCTGCCACAGGTCTTATATGAATAAACAAAAATTTTAAAAATAACAAACATTAAAATATTCGACAGTATTCTGTCCTGACATTCAAACACATCTTAAAGTCTTACAAAAACTCCACCCCGCCCCCATGTCTGCTTGAGGGCTTACTATGCCAGGAGGCATGAAAAGTATCGTTTATCCCTGGAACAATGATATGTTATCCCTATTTTTACAGCCGGAAAAACTGGGACTCTAATATTAACGTTCACAAGCGAAACATGTAGCGAGTCACAAAGCCAGGAACTGAACCTGGGTATTCTCACCTCAAAACACATTATCCTTCGGGTCTTACTGCTAACTGCTCTCAAAATGCAAAACAAAGGATAGACAAAAGGTTTTCACCAAATTATTTTGCACTTGATTCTTTTCTTCCGTGCGTCTCCTCATAATCGCTTCTCTGCGTGAACTTGACCCAAAACTAACCCTTTTTCCTAATCACCTTTCAAGATCCCCTTCAAATAGCAATACCTCTATGAAGTATGCCCAGGCAGCAAGAAGCTGTCTCTCTCTCTCTCCTCTTCTCTCCTACTCTTTCAAATGGTTCCCTACAGTTTCTAGTTGGTATTTTATCACGCCATAGACCTTTCATCTTCCACAGACCTCTGCCTCGCTCCGCCTTTAGAGACCTGGACACTTCTCCGCCCCCAGCGGTCGCCCCGGAAACGCACGCTACTTTTAACTGAATCTGTTCTGTGAATCCTTTTCAGCCTCCTCCTGGGGTACGACGGCTCATTCCTCCAGACCTGCTTTATAGAGGGTGTACCAACTCAATCTCCGCAAATTTCTAGCTACAAGAACTACCACCGCTGTCTCCGACGCTGACTCCGGGATAGGGACGCTTCGAACTCCGAAACGCTTAGCAACCACCGGCTTCCTTCTCTGCTTTCCCACCTCCGAGATCCTCTTCCGGGGCAGAGGTCGGCTCGCCTCTCCTCCAAGATGGCGAGCGGCGGCAGTGGGGGGGTTTCGGTGCCTGCGCTTTGGAGTGAAGTGAACCGTTATGGCCAGAACGGTGACTTCACGCGCGCTCTCAAAACCGTCAACAAGAGTAAGTGTCGGGGCAGAGCCGGACGGGTGGGAGGATGTAGCCCCTTGCGACGCGCGCAACCGTCTCCGAGCAGATGCGGGAAAGGGAGACCCCAGCCGCCCGCTAGGGCCGGAACGTCCAGCGGGCGCGGGTCGCAGTCCATTTGTTCTACCCGGCCAGCTCTGGGTCCTGGGTGGCTTAGAGCCACGTGTACTTCCCTCTTTAGCTCCCCCCGCGAGAAGCGAGGGAGGGATTTAAAGAGACCGCAGCTCCCAACGTCTCCTGTAAACTGTTTTTATTTTATTCCGTTGTTTTCACGCCTTATTTCGCAAATACGCCACGTTGCCTGCTTTTCGCTTTCCTTGTAGTGGAGTGATCAAGACAGTATTGCTAAGGGAGCTTTTTCTTTTGGGCCCCAGCGCGGGGGAGGAACCTGCACACGTAATTTGCAAACTAGTGCTGACGAAGTGGAAGCTCTACAGACTCAGGGTAGAGGGAAGGGTTGGATCTGGATGTTAGGCCTGTCATTCCCACCGATAGAATCCCTCCAGCGTCCCTAGACAAGAAAAGGTGTGTGTGAAAGCACTAACATTTGAAATAATGTTGCAAAAAAAGAAAGGTGTATTCTGTTTTTTGTCCAGTAACTCTCATTTTTCGAGTAAACTGTCTTCGATGTGACGTTCAATTCATTATATTCTTTTATCATTTACTACCTAACTGTAATATAGCCATGCTTTTTAATGCTCTCTGTCGTTCTCAATAAGTATACTAACAAACACAATTTATTTATACAGCGTATTCTCATGTAATTTTCTTAATAACCTTGTAAAATAGGTAATGCTTTCATACTCATTTTGCAACCAGAAAGTTGACATTTGGCAGTCAAAAGACTTGCCCAAGACCTCAAGGCAGTTAGTGACAAACTTATAATCAAACCTGTCATTTGCTACTAAGTTCTATGTGAACTTTTTTCTTTCCCTGTGAAGTAATGAAATATGTAGGATATAGCATGCGTCCCAAGATGAAAAAGCAATAGAAAAGAGCTTCATTCTTTATTTCACTGTACTTTTTTTTACATGCATCTTGAGAAGCTATGTCACTGGAAAGGCTCACTAGCTCTCCTTATTGTCACTTCTTAACTTAAAGATCAGCCATTTAAAAAATATTTTGACTAATCATTTCTGCTGCAGTAAAATTGGTGTTGTAGCTTCCTTAGGTGG